AGGAGGAGGAGTAGTAGTAGTAGTAGTAGTCGTAGTAGTCGTAGTGGTGGTGGTGGTGGTGGTGGTGGTGATGGTGGTGGTAACAGTAGTAGTGGTAGTAGCAGTAGTGGTAGTGGTACTAGTGGTCGTGTCAGTAGCAGTGGCAGAGGAAGTGCAAGTCGCATCGCTTGCGAGTTCCAATGCTAGTGGAAGTAGTAGTGGTAGTACACTGTAGCAGCAGCAGCACCCCAACACAGCAAACCTGCTGGCAGCTCCTGGAGAGCCGCCTCCAGGGCAGCGTTTTCACCACTCTCCCCCCAAACCTGGAGGTCGGTGCTTACAGATGTAACGGTTGGGTTGGAAGACCAGCCGTCCCTTTTCAGGGTTCGTCGCAATAAAGACTTGAATACCCTCTCATGCAGGATGGGTTGCGAGGATTCCTTGTTTTATCAGAGTCCCCGAGGCTTTTGAATGACTGTCGCGTGTCGGTGCTACGTCTGCCGGCGGGAGGCCGCGGGGTAACCGCAGATCAGGGCTTCGGCTGGATTTGTGCTCCATACAATAGACCAGAAGTGCACAGTTTCATGTCGTGGGTTCCCATGACCTTAGAGCTCAAGCCAGATAGATGGCTTGCAACGGACAGGATCCAGCTAGGTGTCGGTCCAAGTTCCGTGTCGAGCGCCGGGGCTGGCATCTTGGAGTTTCAGCTTCGCCTCTTTCATTCATGATGATCCCATCCGAGGCTGGGACCCACAAGACTCCACAGCGCACCTTAGCAGTCAGGCACGCCGTACAAAGAACAAACATGAGCTCACGCAGCATAAGCCCAGAAGTCAGACAAGGACATCAAACTCCCTGCCTCTGCTCGCATTGTCTGGCTTTCATGAAAGTCAAGTATATTCTACAACATATTATAGTCTTCTCTACTCTACCCTGCTCTACTCTGTACTATACTCTAGGCTAGACTCTATACGATACTCTATGGTATACTCTATTAGTCTAGACCATGCCGTGTACCATACTCTATGCTATACTCTATACTGTATTCCATACTATACTAGGCCAGACCATACTATAGCACACCGTGCTATACTTTACCTTTACCGCAGTAACATATTGCAGCACGACGCCACAGCACACGATACTACTCTAAGCTATGAGAATATATAAGACTATACTGTATTAGGTGGTAGTGCGTTAGATTGTAGTATACAATACTGCAGTATGGTATCGTGTCCTATACCTAACATATTGAAACAAAAATATAGTCAATGCCTTATATAATATGCTATCTCATACCTCAATACACTATGTTTAGAATTTAGGTATATTATATTGACCTACATGGTACAAACATCTTTAATGTCAAGATATTGTAACATGTTGTGGTATAGGCATAATATACTGAATGTATACTAAAATGTATTGTATACTCGATTTGATTCAGAAGTAGAATATTTATTATGTTTCATTCCAAATATTGTAGTATAATTTGCATATATTACCTTAGAGATGCTATGCTGTAATACCATTGATTCTACATTCCATTCCATTCTGTTGCATCATACTATATTCTACTTCCTCTTTAGCCTAGCTCGCTGGCCTGCGCCGGTCTCGCCGAAGCACAGGCGCGCGCATTCTGTTGCAACTCCGGGAACTTCTCCTGCAAAGCGGTCTGGGCTCCAGGGTTCAGAGTTTAAATGGTGAATCTTTACTAACCCTCCCCCCCCCCCCCCCCCCCGAGGCGATTTCAAACCAATGCCACCAGCTGCATTCCGCGTCTTTTTGCTTGGCGGGCTCTTTGACGCGTTTCCTCATTGCGGCTTCCGCGACAGCCTCGGCGCAGTCACAAGTAAGATGCAAGGAATTGCCGCTTCGGACTTTGGAGCTCTGTGGACTATCAGCCTGTTCCACTGGATCACCGTTGGTGAGCTAGACACCTTACATTCCAGGATCATGGGTAGGCCGTGCTATGTAAATCCGCATCATGTATAATCATGAAGCTGGCTAGGGGCCTTCACCGAAACTTCGGACTGGGAGTATATACATATCTGGACATGTACCCTGGTCTTTCAATGTCTTGCACACAGGTTTGCAATGCAGGCAGCAACAGGATTTTGCCCAGAAAGCTGTTGCTGAGCAGGAGGAGACTAGCTTTTGTCTGTGAGATCTAGCTGGTGTGCGGGTATGTGGCGGCTTCTCGTTTTGCAGTGTGCCAACTGCTTTTGTAGCAAAATCAGGTGATGCTTAATATTGCTTAATTGCTACCAGTAAAGCCAGTAAACCCTGCCCAAAGCTCTGTCGCGACAGTCATCATTGTAATTGTAAGAACAACACAAGGGCAAACTCGCAGCTGTCAGCTAGAACTGAAACAAACGCGCACACCCACACAGGCATGCCAGAGAAAGCTTTGCCAAGCAGCTGCCTGGAACCAAGCTTGAGGAAACAGTTCACCGCTGCAGTTCGACGTTGAGAACCGTAAGATTTTGTAGCCCAGCCTGTCCTACTGTCATGCTTTTGTCGCGGTACACCTCTCTTGGGTGTGTCTGTATTAACCAGTAATGAACGCCGGCGCGAATTTCTGGCTCACGGCCGGACTCCGCCTCCACAGCATCGTAGAGCTTGGAGATGGGATCCGTCGACAGGAAACTGGAGCGCAGCCGGCGCCCACTAGGAAGACGGATAAGGACTTCGATGTTGCACACTTCATAGCCGCTTTCCGCCTCGGGAGCCTCACTCGTCACTGCTTCAGCTGGAGCTGCGTTGCTTTCATTGCTGGGCATCGGTGCATCAGCTGTGCATACCTCTGGGGCTTCCTTTTGTGGCCCGGCACATGTTGCCCCGGCTGGATCTGCTGAATCCAGTGCAGAAGTTGACAGCTGAGGCGCATCTGCCTGGGGTATGTCTGAGTGGACCGGCCGCGCAATCTGCGACTGCAAGGGCACCGCCTCCACGCGTGGAGGAGGCCCTGGTGGCAAGTAGTCGTCGGCTTGGGGCACTGGTGTGAGGTCCAACTGTGCCTCCATCCTGGGTGTTGGAAAGATTTCGGTGTAGGACACACCACCATGCGGCCTGAACACCAGGCCGTGAATATGCCAACAGCAAGCAGCCGTAAAGACATGGGCACTGGAGACCAGTATCAGGGCCAGTGGACGCAAGTATCCCAGCACTCCTGAAGGGGAAAGCGCTAAACAGATGGATCCTGGAACGCAGTCAGAACAAAGTCTCTTCCCAAAGGCCCTAGACCAAACCCTCGCCCCCCTACGATACTTTCCACAACAGGGCAAGGCATCCCCGTTGTGTGACAGCAATCAGCCGCATGTGTTACAAGTAGGTACGATTACACGCAGGATGCACAGGCACAGCCAATAACAGCTGTGAGAAGGAGCGCAAGCCGTGATGCAAATGAGGCAATGCTTGCGCAAGGCCGCACCACCACCTCCTCATAACACCAAGAGAAGTAAGCACGAGTCTTTTTGGTATTTTAGCATTTCAGCAACAGGAAGCAACCAGTAAAAGAAGAGGAGCAGTCACAACTACCACAACCAACATCGACTGCCCGTCCATCCGACCTGTGGAGTGCGACGGCACGGACACAATGAGGCCCAATAGGCCAAGCAAGCCTGGAGCTCTGCGGAAATCGAGGGGTCATCTTTGAGGGAATCATGCAAGCAATCCTGACGCTGGTCACAGTGATATCAACAGCCGTATAACTGTCATAGCAAGTATAAGGGTGCTTAGAGCACTGAGGGTACGGTCTGGAAGGGCGGCTGCTATGATCTGATCACAAGATGGCCTGCGTTCAATCATCTCTCTTCTCCGGAACAATGATCGTAAGACTGAAGGCTTTGTGTGTTCCCCCATAAAGATCCCACCCCCGAGGAAAATAGTAGCAGCAGCAATTGCGGTCGCGGTCTATCAACATCCAAGTGTCACTCGTGTCACTCTCGCTTTACTACAGCAATCTCATAAAGCCGCTTGTGCTATTGCATGCAATCTCATAAAGCACGGGTCCGGCCAAACAAGGGAGTCTAGAACAGTTGGAACTGCAATGAATCAAGACAACACTCTTGCCGGATCGGCCGGCTGACATCTGCGAATACAAGCCTAGGCCGAACCCGGCGCCACCGAAAAGAAAAACAAATTCAATCCCGGTCTCTCGCAAGGCATGAAGTTCCCAGAAGCGGCAGCAGGTATGTCCAACCATCGCTCCAAGCCCATTTGGCCCAGTCCTGACTGGTTAGTGTAGTCCACAAGTGCAGAGTGCAGACAGTTTGGGCTATCGAACTCCGGCTTCACAACCAAAGCAGTGCTGCCAGTCTCCCGACCATGTTCCCAAGGCTTCACGTGTCTTTGGTGAATCGGACGATCGGCTCCATACTGACTTTTTGTGCCAATCCTTTCTTGCTTTATCGCTAGCGCACGGGCCTCACTCGAAACCGATGCGACGTAGTGTCGTGAACGTCGCCGCACTTTGCCCCCGACACACAGAGGTCCACCCGTTTATTGCAACAAGATCTCTACTCAGGCTCTCTTTTGCTCTTTGGGTCGAGCCACGAGTGAGTCCAGTGCTTGTGCCATGGGCCGCCCCAGAAAATGAAGGAAGGGGTCCTGAGAATCGCAGGATACTCCTGAACTCCAATGCTTCATCCTAGGCGATGGCACATCCACGGATGCTCCGACCGTGGCTCCTGTTGAAGCAGCAAGGATCCCAGTAAAGCGGCAGCCAAGCCTTAGTTCCAGCCCCTTGTAAAGCAATGCTCTTGGAGATCCTAGAGGACAAGTCGTGAAGTCCGCGAATACCGTATACCCCTGTGCGCACGCAACTCTTGGACTACAGTGGGCCTTTCGAATTTGAAGTACCTGTAGATCCTTTAGACCACAATGACTGCAGCCCAGAAGCTCAGCATGCCCAGCACATAGACTCCTGTGAGCTCCGGGTTCCGGATAGATCCGAATACATCAGATTTTGTGGTGTTGCTTGACAAACATATGATCGCCCAGGTGACAGAAATTGCCTATACCTCAAAGTCTTCGCTGGCGAGTCTCCAGCGAAGGACAGGAGCAGGAAGCCGCCATAGAAAGCGAAGTCGCAAAGGCGAAGGATGGCAAGGTAACTTCGGACCTGCGAGCACACATCACGCCCCACCCCTAAGATTCAACGAGTCCCGAGCGTCATAATGCAAAACAAAAAATTGAACTAGCCGGGATGACATGGGTCCTGTTTGGCAACTCACAAACTGTCTCTGTACTCAACATCATAACCGACGATGGCTGTGCACTGCGCGGATCGTAGTTACTGAAGTGTCTGTAACCTAACCGGAGTGTGGTTATGTTGATCAATCATGAAGTGGGAACATGGTGCAAGCTGAACTTCGGAACTCGACGCCCGCCTCCTTAGCATGCGGGCGCATAGGGGCCTCTCCCCGGCCATGTGATGGCATCTCCCGCTCCAGCAGAGACATACCGGCTATGTGCAGAAGCTGAAGCTTAAAGGCTTAAGCAAACGAGGTCGGAAATCAAGCGTGAAAGCTACGATTATGCAGAAACTACCACAATGGGAACGGTGAGAGATGGGCTTCATCGCGAGTGCTACTAGTAGTCAAGCTGGTAGTCTGCTAGTCTCGGACTCTTGCTCCGAACAGGGAGGCTTTGAAACTGCCACTTGCAGGCTCGGGCCGGAGCAGCGGCGGCGCTCTTGCTCGGGATGTTCTGCAAGTGAGAGCTGTATGGATCCCCCCCAATGAAGCAGGGGTTAACTACCACAGCCTCCGTTGCTTGCGGGATGGCCGTGACCTTGCCCTCCCCGTTGAACCGCCACCCGTGGTAAGAGCCTTAGAATGCCAGATGATTGCACATGAACGCAATCGATTTGAGACGGCACTCCGAGAACCCACGGCCAGAAGTTGAAAATTTTTCATTCACAGCAAGGGGGGGTGGCGGAGAGGCATCTCTGTCGTGTGTCAGCACGATATTCCTGTTTGGATCCAGGACTTTTCTTGTGGCTTTGGGGTTCAGGTTTGCAGTGCTGTTTGGATTTTTGTCGCTGCAGGGCTCAAGGTTTAGGACTGTAGTGCTGGTAGGCAATTGCCGATGTGAAACCCGCGATCCAAGAGCCCGCTCGTCGGATCCGGGTTCATCCAAGGCTAGTTGGGGGGTTCCGGGATGGGTGACGACTGACATACTGCACTCCGAAAGGCACATCAAAGTGCTGTCTTTCTCGATGCGGCCCTCACCTCGGGTTGCGACGTGACAGCATCTGGACTTTTGATGGAATACTTGGAGCCAGGGGACATCAGCAACTTGCTGAACCCCTGCAAGATTCCCACCCCGAACCCTCAACTCCGTGGTCCTCTTTTGCAGCAGGAGCTCTCAGCGGCACAGCTCGGTGTGGGCAACGATCCTGGCTTGCGAGTCATGCGCGGATTGCCCTCGGAGAGCGACACAGAGAGGGAGAGAGACAGAGAGAGAGCGAGAGAGAAAGAGAGCGAGAGAGCGAGAGCGAGAGTCGAGAGAGAGAGAGAGAGAGAGATATAGATATATATATGTATATATACATATACTTATCACAGACTAAAACAGTACGTCCGAGACTCGTGCTGGAACGCAACGACCCAACCCGCGTTTGCGCAAGAAGCGGCTACTTCACCGAGGTCTGATGATAGATGATGATAGAGCTGATATAGTAGCGTTCCAGCCTCGAAGACACGCCACTCTCCATCGCCGTCGACCCAAGCGACAAGATCCTCACCTGAGGTCAATCTGCACTGTTAGGCAGCTGTCGGTGTTCGTTTGACCACGCGATCATTGAAACAGAACTCGCCTCGAACCCTAGACGTCTCACTTCTGGGACTTGCCTTTACAGATTTCAATAGCAGATTCACCTTTAACCAGACACCACCTCACAGACCACCTACTGTACCCAAAGTGGGGACGGCAGACACAAACAAACTAAAAACTCCCGGCTTCCGGATGCCGTCACAGGCCCAAGCCCAGAAGCTGCAGCTTGGTCGGGCGCGTCCCGTCCTGGTGGAGACTTCATCTTGTGCTCGTCGGTGATTGATTCATCGAACAACTATCGGTTCCAGGTTTGTTACCATAGCGGGCAACCTAAACACGCGCAGTTCACTACGTGATTCCACTGCTGTTTCTACCGCAGCAGACACTTCTTTCAAATCGGGAGACTGGGAACTAGGCCTGGGCACTGCCAGGCCGCTACTGCTGCCGTTGCCGCCGCTTGCTTGCTACTTCTACTGCTTTACTGCATCCACGATGAATTGACGGCTGGAAAACAAAAAATGCAGCCCCAAATTACATCCGACTGCGGCAACATGCGGCAACTGACACGCAAGGGGTCCAGATCTTCGATGACGGCCATCGGGTACCATGCCTTCAGGAGCCCAGGGCCGGTGGTGGCAGGAAATTAGGAAATCGGAGCTCTCAATAGTCTGAAAGCTTCCTTCTGGTTGTAGAGCTCAGAAATGGCAGATCCAGCTCAGGATACTTGGCGGTACAGGCCTTCTGCCAGACGAACTTCTCGCCCCAAGAGTCGGTTTTCACATCCTCCTGGCAGGCTTTGGTGCGAAACAGGGGTCCTGAACTCTTCCACTGGCCCTCGAAGAGGTTTGTAACTGCATTCTCTACTCTATTCTTTAGGCGGCGATCCATCTCACCATCTGCATGCTTGTCGGCCTGAGCATGTGACGGACGATCTGCTGAATCTACTGCAAGCACCGGTAAGCTTACGTGCTGCTGCATGTGTACGGCACGCGTTCATGAGTGAGTCAATCCTGGCCTAGCCGTGGGGGTGGATTCGTTGAAGCCAACTTGGCAAAACGCTCAGAAGCTTGCCACGCCAGCCTCAGGGTTGAGAGTCGTGGCTGGCGGCCCTTGCCGTCGGCGAGCCTTCGATGCCTTCGGCAGGGCCGCGCAACGATGGTAAATGACAGAGACTGCACCAGTCTGGTGTTGAGTGGCATGGAGTCCCAAACGACACTTTGCACGGGGAAGTCTCTCGAATATGTTTTTTACAGAGCCGCACATACCGACAAGCCTGGGCAGGAGAGGCAACAACAGTTGACCGATAGCTGCGGCAGCTATAGCCATATCGAGTAATCACAGCACAACACGCACCCGCACACACACACACACCACAAAAAAAACAAATACAGACAATCACTATGGCCAGGATGGTTATCCCCATGATCATCATCGAAACTATCGCCACCACTAAGCATTAGGAATCTCAACACCTGTTGAGCTTGGCAGTGTACCAGTAAATCTCACCACGATGGCAATCACTGAAGCACCTGAAGCCCAAATCGTAAACTATTGCCATCAACATAACGTCACAATCACAGCTTCCATCAAGCTGATCTGAGGCTCGACCCCGACACACACACACACACACAGATATATATATAATATCATATATATATATATACATACATACATACATACAGACAGACAGACAGACAGACAGACATACATACACAAACACCCACCCACACACATCCGGTTGCACGTGCTTTGGCTGTTGCGAACAGTGTCCACAGTATTGCACAAAGCACTCGCTAGCATCAGTAACTCACTCCAACTTTAATCGTTAGCCTGAACTGTAAAGCTTTAGATTTCTGGGCTGAGCAATAACGTCATGACATATCATGACCGAAGGCTCACGGCTTCCGTACCACCGTGGGCCTGGGAGCGCCGTGCCCCGCGGAACGCAGCGGTGGCTCCGAGAAGAGTTCCGACAGCCAAAGCTGGTGCTAGGGCCTTGCTAGTGCCAGAGTGGTACACTCTCACGCTCGAAGTAGCCGTAAGGCACTGAGGAGGGTGCTGGGGTGCAACTTGATCGCTATCTGCGCGGCTTATTGCAACCAGCAACTCAAACAGGCGATCAACGCCGTGTGAACAGCGTGCTGTCATGCTTCGGAGGGCACACTGACTGCTGCAAAAGAGGGTGAAACATCCGTAGATAGCTACACTGAAGATATCTGATCTTGGAGATGCCTTCGACCTGTGAAAGGGACACCCACATGGACCAATGGAAGGAGAAAACCCAGACAGGCGTACGACCTCCCGGAGTGTTTCGTGCACATGTTCAATGACAGTTGTGCCTGGCCCGGAAAAAGGGTGAGGAAACTGGGAAGGAATGAAGAGAGCTGAAGCCAGGGAACGTTGCCAACCGGCTTGCTGGCCACTCGGCTGCTGCCGGACCTCTCCAAGCTCCGCGAAGTCGCGACGGTTCGTTGCACCGGAGCCGCAGGTGCCAGGAAGGCGGAGTCTAGAACTTGCATGGCTGTAAGAAGCAGCTTGGAAAACAGTGGAAAATGCTGCAACAGCTGCGTGGCGGCATCACATATGTCCAGACATTAAGCATGTCAGAGACATCGTATTTCCGACTCGTCACCTTGCTTGTCTGTTGCCTCACATATCCTGGAACATGCTGGCAAAACATACACCGCACCTCCCCATGCCGAACATGTAACACGGCCTCAACCAGCAAGACATCATGTCAATGTCATGTTGCGATATTGCTATACCGCCCTGGCTTTAGGCTTGCAGTGGCGTGGATGCCGCGAGTTCAACATGCCACCCCAACCCAGAGTGGGAAACTCATTTTTTCTCACGGCCAATAGTGCAGACGAAATATAAGTGTAGACACCCCGCACATGGTGCAGTTTCTTGACTTGGACTCATGCAAAGCATAAGACTTAACGAAGCCACCGCTTAAGGTGGAATGGCAGGTGGTGCCCGGCTTCTCCGACAGGTTGATGGAATCGTCAGAACCACGTACAGTCCGCCAGCATGAACGTGGCCACCCAGGAATTCCCCTTTCTGCGAGCTCCGGCAGAAGACTTGGCCAGTTGGGGAGCTTCCAGCACTGGTTCGCAGTCTTGGTCGTATACGAGTAAAGCAGTAGTGCGCATGGCCGAAATCGCGGGCTCGCTCAGAACTTGCAACGGATGCCTTGGTCAGGCAGACGGACGGGCCAGCAGTAGATCACCCTTGTCGTAACCATGCTTGAACCGGCAATCAGGCGACCCAGCGCAAACTAAATAGTGCGCATTTCTCGCTATGAGATACCTCGGCTCACCACCGAACCGTTCTTCTCGGCATTGCAATTGCTATTGGCTTGCATCGGGCTGTACCAAACTTGCAGCTTCCTGTGTGATTGCCCGGCGCTCTTGTGCTTGCGCTGTCACATGCCATCAGCCGGCATGCAATGCTGGTCTCGTGGTCGAGGAATCTAGGATGCAGCAACGCAGCAAAGCACGGACACCTCGGCTTGTCATATCGGAAACTACCGCAGCTCAAGACTCCCACAAGGAAAACAGAGCAGGAGCCACATGCAATTTATCTTTGCGGCAGGTTAAGGTCGTTGTGCAGTGAACGATCGCAGCGAAGTTGCGGAGTCATCGCACCAACAGCCATCGGCATCCTGATGGACACGTTTGTTGAGTCACAGTCATAGTCGTTGTGGGATGCGTAGTCTCCGCGTCACAACCGTAGGTTGAGAGGTCGAGTTACTTTGCTACGTGGAAGGAGAGACAGCCAGGCAATGGGAGGAATCCATCGCAAGCACTTCAGCTACATTATCCCAGCACCAGCATTACAGTCAACATCAGTCAATCGGCCTTCAGCATGTCACTACAGGCTGACATCACAAGGCTCCGTGCTTTTCCGAAAGAACAAAATCCAACGGAAAGCTGCATCAAGTCGTCTCAGCTTCAGCAGCCTTAGAACCTCCTGAAGTCATGTAGCACGATACTTACTGTACTCAATGGTCGAACAGACGGTCATGATGTTGTCAATATGAACCTTTCCCCCTGTCCGAACTCCGACTAAATGCCTGATACAGTGTGCTCCAACGAAATGCGATTGGAAAACATGATGTCACCACGTTCGCAAAATCATGCAGGTGCCTTTGCACGCGCAGCTTTTCAGGCATGCATGTTCCGAGCCTTGTGGAAGCACATGCTCCTCGATTCTCCACCATCTTTCGTTGGCCGCATTTGCATGATTCGGCTAGCTCACTCAGCAAACCCTACAATCCGAGAAGCGATGTCAGCATCTGTCATCAGATACGAATCTACCGGCTTGGTCTTCACAGCTTTCGCATATACATCCGCAACTTTGCTGCAAGTCGTAACACGCTTTGGCGGATCGTGTCTGCCCTTGGTGTGATAGGGCCACAGAAAAAGCACATTGCCTTTGAAGCCTTTCACATTGTTGCCAATTCCCGAGCCATCTAAGCTCTTCGGAAATGTGCCATCGAAAAACCACAGCCAAGGCCCCATATACTCTTGCAGCGCATAGTTAGGATCTTTCTTCATTTTGGCTTTGTACTGGGCTTCACTCATCTTGTTCAACCTGTTCTCCAGTACCAAGTTGCCCGATCGCTTTGGATGGGCCATTTTGAATCTAACCGCCCGCACTGCACCCCAGTCTCGACCGTAGAAAGCAGGCTTGGCCAAGCCAAGCCAATCGAGAAGTTCCAAAAGGATCGACACATCCGCGTCCAAATGTTTCTCAGCAGTTCCCGGCAGTTTGGGTGCCAATACCTGACGGCCGATGTCCCTCAATGCGGTAATCAGGCCTTCCAGCTGTTCTAACTCGCTGCCTAAACCGCCCAGAAGAATCACGGTTTCTTCAGCAGCTGATTGCCAGGTGCCCCAAATTTCGATGCTACCCGACGTCAATTCAACAGATCCTTTGCCACCAGAGAGGCGCAGTTCATGTGCCGCTTCCGCAATCTTCGTTTTCTCCTGATCTGCTCTGTCCTGCGCCTCTTTCTGTTCCACTTTGTTTTTCACATGCGACGCCTGCATTGCGAAGCGAAGAGTGCTGACGCTCTCACTGAGGGAGTCGGCTGCTTGAGTGACGCAAGCAACGAGGGCAGTCTTACTGTTGCCGCCCAACCCTGCTTTCAGCAGCATCGTCAAAGGTGATGCGTTATAGGGGATAAAAGCCTTCGTCTGAGTGATGTCTGCTTCAATCAGAGACATGACCACTCGTCCCAACGCGGTCAGAGACAGGTTTACATTGGTTGCCTCTGTAAAGCCGTCACCAGTGACTCCACTCCTTGCTACACGCTCGCTGCCAGCCAAGTCAACAATGAACATGGACGAGAAAACATCACCACCGTCACCTTCTTTCAGTCGCAACATCAAAATGGCATGGCTACGACTGGAAACTTCATTCATGTCCTGCGCTCTCGTGGCACGCCGTGTTGCTCCCTTGGCGACAGCTTGGAGAATCTCGGAAGCAGACGTGGCCTTGTGGCTCGATAGACCCAGCAGCTCAACTCCAGCTTTGCCCTCGACTAGTTTCCCAAGCCCTGAAGCATCTGCCAACAAATCCTTGAAGTCGTCCAAGTACAGCTGCACGTATTCGTAGTGCAGTTCTTTGCCTGCTGGCATCTTCTCAAAGATGTCTGAAAGACTTCTGGTAACGATTCCCGGGTCCTCTGCGGGACCAAAAATGGTGTAGGTCTTTCCAGTTCCGGTCTGCCCATAGGCAAAAATTGTGACATTTGTCCCTGCCAAGAAATCTTGGACAAACGGCTTCGCTGTGGAATTGAAGACAGCTTCTTGGCTCATGGACTGCTCGAACACACGATTGAATACATAACTACCCTTCAAGTTGGCATCACCAGCTTGCACGACGATCCGCTGTGGAGGAGGGTCCCGCGGAAAGTCTGTGTCGGAGACGGCCAAACAATTCTCCGACCCCGCTTTCAATTCTCTTTCTAAAAGCGGTCTGATCCGAATGAAGACTGAAAACGTGTCGTTGATTTCGCCCGTTTCGATTGAAGTCATCTCCGGCCCCTGCAGAGCTGTCTTGACTATCACCTTCCGAGGGGGTGCCGCTACGTAGTCAAAGAGCTCTCGAAAGCAATCCGCTGAAGCTCGGAAAACTAAAGCATGACCGGCCTTTGCCAAAGCAGTTTTCTCCAAGTTGCCGGTCCACCACGTGCCGTCCCTCATACTCTTGATTGGAGTTGGCCCATCTGCATTTTTCACTTTCCAGAGGACAAACGTGCCCAACTGCCCCATCGTGCTTGGATCCAGCAGCAGTTGCGAAAGTTGGTTCAGACCTGAAAGCATCCAAGGCGGTTGAGTTGGATAAAACTTCTCACAGCCACAAAGCATGATGTCAGCTCCGCGTGACTCGAGGTTTTCCCGGAGTCCCTTAGGGACTTCTCCAATCTGCACGTTCAGAAGCACATGATGCCCTGCAAACGGAGCACTGTCTTGCGCATAAGCACGCAAAAATGCACAGGCACCTATACCCTCTGCAAAAACCGAAACACGGCCGTCACGCATCCTGAGGCATTCCATGAGCCGCAGTAGCAGCTCTCCATCCACAGCAGACCAGTCTTTGCCTGGTCTTCCACTTGCACGGCCAAAGCCTGGAAGATCCAGAGCCACAACGTGGAATCCTTTCTCCGTCATAGGTAACCAGAAGTGGGTCCACAAGGCCATGCAGCGATCATCACCAAAGCCGTGAAGACACAGAGCCACGCGAGACTCTGAAGCTTCTGCTTCTGCCGCTTGGAGGCATCGAAGGGGCATGGTGTACTCCATGCCTCCTAGGGAAGTCTTCGCCACGTAGCCGACAATTCGAGAGAATAGCAGCTTCTCGTCCTCGCTGAACGTATCGCCCCGGAAGAAGGCATCCGCATCCTCCATGTCCTGTGGCTCCAGGAACATTCGCTCCGTCGACGCTGGAAGGTCTCCATGGTCCGAGGCACTCGATGCGCCAGAACCCATGGAGGCTGTTTACGCAATCAACCGACTATGGGAAGTGCGGCAGAAAACAAGCTTGATTGTGTCCGCTCTGCCGGCCCGGGGAATTCTTGCAGCACGTGTCCAGCCAGTACTCTTCAATGCTACACCTTCAGCCTCAAAGCCCTTCACTGTCATGGCATCCCGCTCTATGCTGGCGAGCGGAAGCAGAACTCAGTCCCTGCCGCCCAGATCCCTATTATCATTATCATTATAAACCACTCCCGCAAGAGACTGTGGACCCTGACGATGCGACGTTGCAAACTCTGAAGCCCGAAGACCCAAGCACCTTTGATGTACCCCTGCAGCCTCACGAGTGGCGGTAACTCTGGATCCGGTGAAAGAAATGCCTTTGGAGAAGTCGAGGGAACGCTTTGACTCAAGTCGAAACTGGGGCGAAGCATTGGTTTTCCAAACTCCACGCAAGAAGCACGATCAAGATGGCGATTACACTCGCAGCCATACCCGGAGCTCACCCTCACAGCGCTTCGAATGTCCCCAACGATTGGAAAGGTCAAGGTGCTGAACTGGTCGCCGCTGTTGTTGCAGGATGCACGCTCGCAGTCCTCGCGTGCTTTCGGGAGTTCTGCCATGTTCGAAAGCCGCTGGCAGAGAAGAAGCACCATCATTGTGAGTCCCATGCTTCTGATCCAGTTATGGTTGCTAAGCTGCTAAACATGATTCTAAGCCTCAATACCATGCAGGCAATCGGCCTCTGAGCGCAGCCTCTTAAGCGGCCGACGGCAAATCAAAGCAGTCGGACATGGCACACGCAGAAAGCCTTGTCAAACTGTCATTCGGCCTGGATGGCACCAGACACCACCACAGACTTGGAAAAAACGCCTCCGCACTTGCAGCTGGCACCTGGCAAGCAAGGTGGGCAGATAAAAGACTTGATATCCACGTCGGAAGAACCGACTTGCATCAACTTGGCACGGCACCAATCTGCACTTGCACCACTTGGCAGGGCTTGGGCTCCTTGGGTGTTGCTGGCGTGGTGGTTGTTGTCGCGCTCCTGATATGGTGTTCAGAAGGACGCTGGGATTCGGGGCTTGCGGGAACTTCGAAAGGACTAAATTCAGCTTCGGATGTCCCGGCAGAAAGCACGCTAATTTTGAGCCTAAGGCGGATATGAACCGACATTCGTAAATGCCGTCGACCGCAAGCCTAAAACCTCATCCCCGGTGCCGTGCACGCTCTCCCCGCCCGCCTGTACTTCAACTTGGGACAATCGCGCCCATGCTCCTTCTGGGTGGGCTTGTGGTGAGCTTTCACCAGGTTGCCTCAGCTCCGGTGGCTAGCACCTGCGCACTCGACATTCCTTTTTCCAGCTTTTGAGCTGAGGACTTCGAATGCTGGAAAGCCCCATACCCACCACAAGCCCAGGCACAGTCGAACTTGTAGGGGCAGTGGCTCCCTGTCTGATAGTTCCAAACACCTTAAGGCTCGAAGAGATTGGACAAAAAAATCGCTCCCAAACATGGGGCTTCGCAGCGGCTTCGTCTTTGCTCAGTGCTCCTAGGATCTTGTAGGGACTGACTCGCACCAAACCAGAAGATTCTGAGCAAAGTCAGCCCCAGAAGCACTGGTCAATCTGCCGCATCTTCAGCCCCTGCGGCTGCTCCTGAGTGAAGTACAGGCTGGGTTCTGGGATGAAGAATTGCATTCGGCAAGAGTGGAAATGTCCGGACACAACAGACAGATTCGAGGAGACGGCGTAAAGCAATCGCCTGCAGCCTTTTCAAACCCTGACAATCTACATCTTTACATGAGCCTGGTGCAGTAGAGGGGCATTAGCAACGCAACAGTAATGATCGCGCGACTATTCATGCTACAGCAATCGCACGAAGAGCGCTTAAGTACTGAGACCTCCTGAAGCGGCCCGTCGAGCAGAATTGCACATCCAATAAAGGCCCGGCATGACCATTCCAATTTTCGCACCCTGGATCAAAAAGCCTGTTACATGTACCCGTAGTTAAAATTATTTTTTCTGGGAGTGCACGGCAGTGTGCCAGAGTCCAACTGACATGGGTGATCAGACCATGGCTCGAAAGCAGGCACTTCCGCAGCATCCAGTGCTTTCTTGGCCTGTGGGACGGAAGGCTGCTTGTTTGTTGTGCTGCTGGATGCTGAGGGCGGCTGTTGCAAGTGTGCAGGATGCCTAAATTCCCGAAATCCTATCGGCACAAGAAGCTGGGTTAAGCACTGATAGCACGGCTGTGCATCGTCAGTGGTTTCCTCTGGGGCTCCATGGAAGCTTTCGAATCCAAATGAGCTTGCGGCCTTCGCACTCCGATGGTAGTAGAGCGTGTGGAAATATCCCTGACCACCTTGCTCGCAGGGCGGGACACAAGAAGACTCCGAACTCCAACTAGAAGGCGCGTCACCACGGGCCAGAGGGTTTCGCAGAGAGCATGTGCAACAAGCAACAGCGCCACAGAGACAAAAGAGAGAGAGAGAGAGAGAGAGAGAGAGAGAGCGAGAGTCCGNNTGGCCAGGCCACACTCTGCCCCCACAAAGTAGCCGCCAGCAGGCTTGAAGCCTCCACCACCCCAGCCGTTGGTGTGGTCGAAGGTGATGTTCCAGGCAAAGAGCCTCTAGCAAATCGCAAAAGCGCCTTCTCAACACAGTCCACTGCAGCCCACTTTCGGGCAGGAGACTTGGTGCCGGGAATCAGTACCGCAGCTCTCCACCCTCTCCTCGGCCAAGACACTCGGCAGCCCGAAGAAGTCGCCGGTCCGGCCGGAGCGCAAAGAAACCTCCCACACTGCTTGAGCACGTTTGCAAAATAAGCGATTGTGTTCACAGCTGGAGCCCATGTGTGTGTGTGCGTGCGTGCGTG